TATACATATCTATGGTCTACACTGGATGCGGCGCGGCACGACACGACAAATCACCGACAGAAAACTGCTGCTGCGTTCTATTTATGAGTAGACACGCCCCTTACTGCTGATTGGCTACAAGTTTGTTTTGCTGTTCAGCCCGAATCGGTTTTCTAAAGCGTTTTTTTTAAATCGCTTACCCCACCTTTAAAGGTGAGGTAAGCGATTTCTGGTAGCCAATGCTGACATTTGAAATAAGAAACAAAGCAACCTCGGCGTCCAATCGCAGGCCTTCCACTCCTTGAGTTCTCTCCAGCGCTGGAAAGCTGATACGATATTTACACGGGTCCTACTTCTTGCCTTATTGCCTTAAGCCTTCTTTTGTTCCGCAGATGTTTTCCTCTTTTGTTTTTATCCGCCATCTCTATCTTTCTGTCGCTCGGCTCGCTAATATCCGTCCTGTGCACTGAACGCTCTCTCCTCCACATCATGAGTAGACACGCCCCTTACTGCTGATTGGCTACAAGTTTGTTTTGCTAGTCGGTCAGAATCAGTTTTCTAAAGCATTTTTGAAAAATCGCTTACCCCACCTTTAAGCAGCACAACTGTTTTTAACACTGATAATAATAAATGTTTCGTGAGCATCAAATCTGAATGATTTAGAATAATTTCTGAAGGATCATGTGACACTGAAGACTGGAGTAATGATGCTGAAAATTTAGCTTTGCATCACAGGAATAAATTACATTAAAAAATGTATTCAAATAGAAAACAGGTCTAAATTGTAATAATATTCCACAATGTTACTGTTTTTACTGTATTTATAATCAAATAAATGAAGCCCTGGTGAGTGTAAGACTTCTTTCATAAACAATAACAATCTTACCAACAGCTAATTTTCAAAAGCAATGCAATCTCCAGATTGAGGCAAAGTGTTTCAAGAATTGTTTTTTAATGTTTGACATTAAACAAATGTACTTTTATAATTTCAATGAAGTACTATTGAGTTTATTTTTGGAGAAATGTGAATTTTTGGACGAGTATGTACATTGTACATACAAGTTTCAAATCAAACCTGAAAAAAATGTGATCCAAGTAATCAAGTAACCTTAATTATTAGCACAAGCTGATTGATTTATATGGTCTATATGACTCATTGTTTGGCTGTAGTGCCAACTTTAATTTTTCAGTATGTGTTAAGCATCTGTTATGTGATTAGCTCACACTCCACACTCCTACACACAGGCATATTAAATTACAAAAAAAGAGAGAGGTAGGAAACAACAAATTCAGTATACTACTAAAACAGGATGGGCCAGTTCACAAAAAACATGCTTTTGCTTCGAAAAACATGAGACAAGAGCAGTGGAATGGGGAAAAAAAAGTGCCATGTCATGTGCGAGATGCTGCAAAAGATGTGAGCACAATGGACAAACATGTCTTTCAAGTTGTTTTACATAGAAAAACAATGGAAAAGTGGCACAGTGGAATGGAAATGTGTGTTAATGACCCCTAAGATGTTTTTAATAGAGATCACGTTATATTGTAGTAGGGCTGGGACAATAAATCGATGCATCCCAAATCGAGAAATTATTCTGCATCGATTTTGAGATTTTCCGAAGGCATCACAATTCTCTCTTGAATCGATTCTGAGCTAAGTTTTTAACAGCAGATGGCACTGCGTTTAGTATTTAGAAATAGCCGTATTCTGCTTGCTTCCAGTTCCTTACAGACGCACCATTTGAACCTAAAATAATCATTCATAAAGTTCGAAAAGTTTGAAGGTCGAATTACAAGGATGTTCACAGGGTTGTGTGTTTACATTAATCTCGCATCATAAAAGCCTATGTGTAAGTACATTTAACCACTTACATTACTCAGCTGAACGCACAAGCGTTCTTCTTCGTGAGCATTTGAGTGTGCGGTTAAAAACTAGCCTAGAGCGCCATCTGCTGTTAAAAACTAAGCTCCGATGCATTCCGAAAATCTCAGAATCGATCTACGAATCGTGATGCATCGATTTATTGTCCCAGCCCTATATTGTAGTAGATAAAGTGTATTTGTTTGTTAGTAAGATTTCTTTTTTTTTTAATAAATTAATAATTTTATTGTTTTTACCAAGGATGCGTTTAATTGACCAAAAGGGACTTTTAGAATGTTACAAATGATTGCTATTTCTGTTTCTTTGTTTTCTGTTGAATTTCTGTTCAACAAAGAATCCTGGGGGAAAAAAGTATCATGGTTTTTACAAAAAATTTTATCAGCACAACTGTAACACTGACAATAAGAAAAAAATGTTTCTTTAGCAGCAAAACAGCCAATAATAATGGCTGCTGTAAATACAGCTATGCATCACAGGAATAATATGAAAATTTTGTTATATTTGTATATTTTACATGTATTTGTGTCACTATTAGTTTATTTACACATGAGAGAAACATGGCGTGGTATATAATAATGGTATATGATATAAATATAGTCATACCGTGATGTATATAAATAAACACACTTTACATTGCAATCTCTGAACATACCGTTGGCCATATGCTCCAGCGATCCCATGACAAGGCTGTCATAGATGTGCCCCCTGATTCTGTTTGTCAGGCCTTGGTAACGCTGGGTGTCTTTGGCCACATGAACAAGCACCTGAGCAAAGGTATATCCCCCTATGGAGAAAGCATGGACCAGTAGAGGGCGCTGTGAGAAGCGCTCGCTCTCTAATAATTCCAGCACACGACCACCATACTCCAACCCCCAGCGGGGCCACAAGAACTGGCTCACCTCACTTTCCACTACGAGCACATCAAAGCCCATGCGAAAGTAAATCTCACAGTATTTGGCAATGGCCTGTGGCCTGGAGCCCAGCGATGGCAGCAACAGCAGTATCGGTTTAGGGTGAGCAGGTAAAACACTAGCCGTGGGAGTCCCAGCGACACCACTGGCGAAGAAGGTGATGTGTTTACTGATCTTGTGAGCAGTGACCCCTGCCATGGTGGCCGCTCTGGAAAGCAGGATAGCAGGTGAGCTAAAGAAAGGACAGAGTGGAAAGAACAACAGTTCATTTTTATAAAAGGCACAACTGACTCCAACTTACTCACGTGTTGGTCGGCGCCAAAGAAATCCTCTCAATGCCATATGAACTCTAGAAATCTGCCTTTTAAAGAAATATCTAATATTCTGGATGAACAACATGCTGTATTGCCTTAATTCTTGCAGTTGTTTTAGTTAAGGTCTGAATCGGTTAAAAGAGTGTGCTTCTCAGCCCATTTCGGATGTGTTCATACTTCATACCGTATCTGACAGACCATGGTGAAGAAACCTTCTCCCCTGGGAGAGAGCAATCTACATTTTATGAAATGCTAAATAGTTTTGTGTTGCACCATTAAACTTGATGAAGTTAAATGTAAAACTGCATGTAAAATAGCCTAATACTAAACCAAAGCCTCTGACCAGGAGTGATAGCAGTCTGACTGAATTAAATCAGTGAGATAGTTTTGCTGACAGACTAAAGCCTTTAGACATATAGTATTTGATCATGTTTACATTTGATATATATCATATATATCATGTATCATTATGCAATTATATATATAACATTACAGAGGACTTAAAACCTATTAGCGTTTCTAACAACTAAACTAGAAGTGCTGAATAAGTTGAATAACAAAATAAGTAGCTACTAACCCCTTACAGTAACCTTTATGCTCTGATTTAAGCAAGACCATTTGAAGGTCACTTTAGCAAGAAGTCCAGAGGCTGTCCTGCCTGAGTGGATACTTTAGTACTCTAAACAAGTAATCTTTAACATGTTTGCCACATAGTTTTATAAAATCTGACAGCAACTAGCAGTCATAAAACTCACAAAGTGGCCTTACAAGGTGCACTTGATCTAAGTTGATGTTATTTTTTTCTAAGAGTTCACAATTTCCTGTGGAAGAAATTTTATTAAGGTTATATTTGCATTTTCTGTATTGCTTAGAGTCACATGCTTCTTTGCTGATTTAACAGAACAAAGAACAGCTATTGATCTTTAAAGGGGTCATCGGATGCCCATTTTCCACAAGTTGATATGATACTTAATTTAAGTTATCCTGAGTCAAATAATCTATTTTTCTGGACTGACGGATAACAGAAGTATGTCTAATTAATTGATTAATTGATTGGTCATCGGATGCCCATTTTCCACAAGTTGATATGATACTTTAGGGTCTTAATGAAAAGTCTATAACATACTTTGGTCAAAATTTCTCAATGGTAGTGTAAAAAACACCCTTTTTACCCTTTCAAAATCAGCTCTGTTTTCAGCACGCCATTCTAGTCCATGTTGCTTTAAATGCTAATGAGCTCTGCTGAGCCCGCCCCTCTCTTCCGTGGGATGACAAGCAGACTGTAAACTTCAGCCGCGAAACTGGCTAACTAGAACATATTAGGAAAGGCGATTTGCAAAGATTCATAAAAAAAACCTTATACTCACTTCTTCTGTAGATGAAGCTGGATCATGAATGATTCGCGCGAACATAGACACATTTAGGTCGATCTGGATCTGCGCATTCCCTTCAAAAACGAAAGTAACGTTAATCCGCTGCGTCTTCAGCGGCTCAGATGTCGGGAGGAAATGACGACTGCTATGTTCATTATTACATCCAGCAACAAAACATCTCAATCGCTTAATCTGAGACATTCTTGTATTCCCCCGCAACCGGAGTCGACACAATGGCGGACTGATGACAGCTCACTCAGGGCGGGTCTAAGGTAAGACGGCTTTGACAATCAACTATCGTGGGAGGGGCCTGTGCAGAACTACATCATTCTGACAGGAATCTCAGAACAGCCTGATTTGAGAAA